TCAGTTCTCAGAACTGCAAGATGTGTCTCCACCAGATGAAGAAGACTCGCTGCTATTAAGCTTCTTCATCTCCTCGTACGCCCATTCCAGTCCGTGGCAGTAATGCACCGGCGGATTAAACCTGGTATCACTTATATCATCAGGCAAGAACGCACCATTCTCCACAAGAAACTTCACTGCTTCTCTCTTCCGCTCTTTGGCCGCAGCGTGGAGAGGTGTCCATCCACACGAGCCCCATGTTCTGGCGTCGATGTTGGCTCCACGCTCGAGTAGCAAATCCATGACTTCTATGTGACCTCCCTCAGCTGCAAGGTGAAGCGGGCTAACTCCTTTTGATTTGGGTCCCCATGCTAAAGCGTTCACGTCCACTCCTTGGTCGAGCAGCTGTTTGACAGATTTCAGATCGCCTTTTCGGGCTTTGATGTGGAGCGGAGTCCAGCCTCTGTCATCAACATTTGACCTGGGGGATCGGCGTCTACATGAGTTTCGCCGGAGCGAGAATGCAACCGGCTGTTCTTGAAGCATTTTGGGCCTGAGCTTTAGTCAAACCAGACCTAGCTTTGAAAGGAGGGTGGGAATCTGTGTAGGACTAGGAGACTCGGATAGGGAATAATCAAAGAAAATTTCCACAAGAACTCAGCAAGCAGGATGACTTATTCTACGAGGGGACAGATTTACATAATTCTAGTGTAAATCTCACCTGAGAATGTCTAAAGATGGTACTACTTCTGGCTAGGGGGGTTTGCAACAATATCCAGAATTGACACTAAAGGAGGCAGACTTATGTAATTCAGTTGAAACTCAATTAACGGGAGGCAACCGAGTGATTGGCGATGCAGCAAGGGAAAGAAGGATTCAAAACAGGGCCAAAGACACTAAGCTTTTGAGGAATCAAAGTAAGAGCCATAGACAGAGAAGAGAAAATAAGCATCAATTTGAAAGGATTAGAAAGCCTAATGATTGTGGAGAATCCTAATGGAGCACATCGAGACTAAGAAAACTCGACCTATTAGTGATTTGACCAAATCTGCCAAAAAAAGGAAGAAGAAAAACAAATTAGTGAAACCACATGAACAAAAGAAACATTTCAGCTAGATTAGAGTCTTCATTATTCAATTCAACACCAAATCCAATCACATCACCAATAGTCATAAAGAAAACTATAGAAACGAAGGCAAGAAAATTAGAAACAGCAACCTCACAAGACCAATCAAAATCGAATCAAGGAAGCTAACGATTACAAATCTATAAGTCGATCACCAGATCAAGCCATCCAATCCAAGGCTTCCAATTTCACACGAATCAGAAGAAATTCCAACACAACAAAGGAACTAAAGCATACGAATCGACACAGAGACAAATCAATTTCAAAGAAAGATGAAACAACACATACTGAAAATCGATGAAAAGGAAACAAAAAAAAAGGCTCGTACCGTACCCAGCGAGGAGATAGAGAGAAATAGAGATTGTGAAACCAAACTCAGGAATACAGATTTTTTTCTACTCGCTGAGGAATATAGATTTCGCACTAGGGTTTTTTTCGTC